CCTTTACTAAAACCTTAAAACTAGGAATCACCTAGAAATCACTTTCTCATTTCACATTTGCAGAAACTAACATTCAGAGAGGCTCAAGTACCTTTTCAAAGTCAAACAACTTGGTATCTGGGTTAATAAAAGAATTCTGTCTCTTAATACCGAAGCCCATGTGGCAGCCTAGAAAATAGTAAAAATGTGGACAAAGGACAAAGAGAGATAAAGAACAGTCTTCATTTAGATGACACACATTGTCATTTTTAAAAAAGGAAACCAGGAAGGCCTAATTATTAGAAAATCACCCCTCCACCTACTTTTGTATCTGGACAGAAAGAAACCAGTAGAAATGAGTTGATGGCAAAGTTGCTCTCCAGCTCTCACCCCAGCATGCCCATAATTAAGGGAAAAGGCAAAACATCCTTCTGCACCTACTAAATCAACCAGGCTACAGCCAACAGTTCCTATGAAACAAAGTCTATACAAAACAACCCTGAATACAGTATATACTATAAAAGCATCCTGGTGTTCCCTCAATTTGTTTTATAAATTGTTCTGATTACACAGGTGACTAAGACCAAAAACAGAGTCTCCTGCAGCTGCTGTTGATTCATGCACTAGAAAAAAAGAGATTAAGGATCACTCCTGAAAGATTTATATCCAAACGCCTTATCCTAATATATAAAAGGGAACATTAAGGTACTTCAGAAAAAAAAAAAAAAAAAAAAAAACCCCCCAAATTTCAAAAAAAAAAAAAAAAAAAAAAATCACTGCATGTTGCCTAGTAAAGACAACAAAGAAACCCTGCAGAAATGAATGCATGGCCTCACTCAGAAGAGCAAGTGCAAAGAACACTAGGGATAGGAAGCTGACCAAGTCTTTATTTAAAAAAAAAAAAAAAAAAAGACAAAAGCAAAGCAAAAAGCCTTCAGAATCACACAGGGCCAACTTAGAAAAAGCAAAGGAGTGGAAATAGAGAACTGAACCACAGTGACAATATTTCTATTTTCAATTGCATTTCCTCGTTCTCTCATTTTTATTTTTCAAGGAGAACTTACAGAATTGATTATCTCTTATACCCACATAGCACCTTCATTTTCACACAAGCTGGGTTGTGTGTGTGTTAATTACAGTCAATAAACATATATGAGCCTGTAATGGGAGGCACTTAATCAATCCACAGAATCAGATTTAGGAGAGCTTTGCTTGTTAAGCATCATTTGCCTGCATTAGCCAGTTTTCTCTAGCTTGCAAAAGTTACCGGCAGGCCATTCTTGTCTCATGAACAATAAAGTTAGGCTGTAAATACAGTTAGACAGTATGATGGGATAAAGACATACATAAAATCTCAATCTTTACAAATACCCGGTGGAAAAAGATTCTTCTAACTATTTTAACTTACCCTACAGATTACAAAAACAGAAATTCCAACCATTTGCCTAAGGTCATTTATCTGACAGGTGGTACAACAGAAATTAGAATCAAGGTCTTTAGGACCTAGACTTCAGAGGCTGTTGTTAGGTGCCACTGCATTGATTTTCAAGGCTAGAGCCTACAATTCTTCCACCACGTATTACAGGCTCCCAGACATGGAAAAAGAAGTGTGCATACATACAGTGGAGGGTATGTATGTGCATACATACCATGCAAGCATCTCCTACTTTCAGACTAGCTATTTGGGTGGATAAATTTTTCTTTTAAGGTTATTTATAGTGATGGAAAGATTTCAAACATCTATCCTTTAGGAACAAATGTGAGTCACAATTTGCTATCTTCAAATCAGCAGTTAGACATAAATAAAAATTTAGCAATTTTAATTGGTTTGGCCCATGCTTTCAGATTGCCATATGGTTATTTTCCTTGTTTTATGTTAAATGTAATCAATTTAGCACTTGAGTTTTAAAGTCTTAGCAGAATGTGCCAATTAAAAGCTACATAAATTAAAATTATTTGATGCACAGTGATTCCAAGGACAAGATTATTTTAATGTTCTTTTCACAAATTATGTTAATTTTTTTCTGTAAAGTAAGCTTGTATCCCTACCCACATGCCAAACTCTATAACAGACAACAAAAGGCAAATTTTGCTTGGAATAGCAAAAACTAACAAGTGTTCTATTTGCTTCTTCTCTGAGAAATAACCTGTGCCTAAAATGGCCTTTTTTATGCTGTTTGAAAGATGAATCTTTCCTAGTTCAATGCTTCTGAAATTGGCAGCAGTTATGAAACCAGCTTAAAAACTAAATTGTAAGTACTTATCAAGAAACATGGTACTGGGCCCATTTAACTGAGAGCACATTTAACGGTCCCAACTGTCATTTAATATACAAGTATATCAGAGTATTATGTTTTAAAAATGGTCATAGATTGAAGTAAATAGTCTTTTTAAACTGGAGTCAAAATTCTTTTAGAATCTGTAAAACTTGAACAGCTATCAATAAAACATAATCATAAATCTGAAATAATGTAAAATGCATTCTTTTCTGTAGACATGGGATTTAATTTATTGTTCCAGTTGCTACTCAAGATGATTGCCTTGTAATTATTTTACAAATACTGAAGTTCATCACACATGCTAAGTAAATGAAAGAATCATTCATCAACCCCCAAGTGGTTGTGGATGGAATTTTCACACTTATTTAGCTTGATTGAAAGGCCAGAATGTTTGGTGTTCCCCCATGATTGTCAGAGAGCTGTGTGGTTCAAATTACAGTGTTTTAAAATAAAATTCCCTTTTTATATCTTGGGTAAAGGGAGAGTACAAAACTAGTTGCCTTTTTAACACAATTCTAGAATTGACACCATTAGATTCAGAAGAACAACTGATGCGACTTCTTGGTTTCTGGTTACTGTATGTTAGTCCATGTTATTGTATTGTTGTACAGAAAATGTCTTTGTAACTTTTGGATTAGAAAATTTGACAACATGTAAGAGGATCTAACACAGACATATACACATCCTCACATTTCTACTGGTTTATTTTCTTGATTTCATGGTATTTCCAGTGTCCTCTTTTTCAACAGCAGGAATGCAGAATTACTAGGAGTGTCCCTAAAGGAAACCTTGACAGTCATTATATCCCAGGCAATGAATGCCTTCATTCAACAAGGGCACTGCCCTCCTTCCTCTGCAAGCCCTCTAACATCAGCAAGTTTCCCCAAAGGGCTTGCACTTTAACTTGGTCCAAAGCAGGTCACATTTCTAAAATACTTAGCTGTGTCAAATGTCCCTGGCCAGCAGCACTGAGTCTGTGATGCCACAGCGTTTCAGGCTAGATCGACCTCTTTCTAGTTTTCAATGCAATTATTCCATGTAATCCGATTTACACAGCCATTTAATCAAAGTGAAAAAGAAGATTACAGAGCTCACATTTGTTTTGCAAAGCAAGGGTGCAAGGATCATCACTCCTACTGACTCTGGAAGTGACTTGATAGTACATTGTCCCCCTTTGTTGTGTTGGACATTAACCTCATCTGTCAACACTGTTGTTTAAATAGGAAGGTTTGGGCTGTCTTTCTGATGGGCTTCTTCACCTAGATAACACTACCATTCACATGAGCAAATGCTACTATTATAAAGAAATAGGTTCCTTGCCCAGACTTACTATTCAAAGCAGAAAGCTTACACAAATAAAGTAATGACATTAAAACTTTTCTATTGTTGAAAGAATCTTTAACACTTGCATTTCAACAGCCCACTGTTGCAGTCTCCAGGTTCAGCGTTAGGTGCTTCCAACAAAAACTACTGTACTTGCACGTGGAGACATGCGTTCAGCTTCTCTTCCTCTCAGGCTGCTTCTTTCTACACAAACCTCCATTCTGCCAGGCACTGTCCCTTCCTCCTCAACGGTGGAAGAGGCTCCATCCTTTCCACTTCTTTCTGAATGTCTGCAGTCCCCATACCTAGTCATCTATTTAAAATATTATACTAAACGGTTCCTGTAATAAAGCATTTTCAGTACAAGGATGCCTTCATTCTAAACTGAGGATCTCTACAAATCCCTAAATTCCTTTCATCTCCTTGTTTCCAGACCTTCAATACATTTCAGGAACTGCAATCTCTGATGGAACCTCTTGGGGGTGAAAGGGCAGTTTTACACAACCTGAGCTGAACAGATCCTAAGCGGTGACACGGAGAGGTTAGAACACCCAGTGTGAAATGAACTGTGTGGATGGGGTGCAATAGCGAGTTATTACTAAATGAATAGATAGATATTTAATAATAAAAGAAGTTTGGCTGCACCTTTGGGCTGTGCTTTTCCCACAATGTTCTATTTGCAATGCACACTTTAGCAGCGCAGGGAATTATCTCTATGATTATTATTAGATATTCTATTTAAAAACAAAAACAAAAAACCACTTTGCTATTTTGTCAGGAAAGAAAGCTGTAAAAGGCGGTTTCACTCCTATAGATCTCTATAAAGCTTATCCTGAACCACAAACCTAGCAAAAGCCGCGGGGAGTCAAGTTTCCTGGGAAGGCCGGGTAGGTCTACCTTAAGCAGAGCCTTGCCGCTAAGGAGCTCTGGTCGGTAATAATTCGGTGGCTGCTCCAGTTTTTTGCACCCACGGCCGCGCCGCGCCCTGCGCCCACCTAGGGACTGCACAAATCTGGATGCAAGAGCTAAGGAGCGGAGGGTGTGGGGATCTGTTTCATAATCTCCCGGAATACACAAGGAAAAAAAAATGTCTCCCATGCAAAGACATGCCTTCCCGTGATAACTTGAACTCCCCAGCCAAAGTCTACCCTCTCAGTTTGCTGGAACTGCGGTTCCCGACTGACAGTTCCAAACTTACAGGCTGGGGCTGCAAACTTGACACCAACTCCCGCTCATCGTTCCTACTCTTACTTCTCCCTGGCTCCCCCGGGCCGAGCGCCTGGAACTTGCAGCCACGCCCGCCTCCTCCGCACCCTTAGGCTAGTCTGGTGAGCACAGCCCCGCAAGTCCCGGCTGCCAGTCCCGGGGCGCGTGGACCTCCCCAGGTCTTCCGGGAGCGATTTTCTTCATTCTACTCACTTGTGTCTTCTTCATAAGGAAAGGCAGCGCTGCGATCCAGCCCAGGCAGCGGTGTGGCGACTCCGTTTAGCTGTTTTGGAGCTCCAGCATATTGCACGGGCAGCGGCGGCAGATAGTCCACGCATTGGGTAGCTCGAGCGCAGTGCCCTCTCCACCGCCCGTGCCTCCCGCAGCGCAGCTGGTCTTCGCGCTAAGCGGCAAATGAAGGCTGGCCGGCTCACAGCCAGAGCTTTTATATAGATCCCTCCCGCCTGCTCCGGACACGCCTCCTTCCCTTCCGGAGCCCTAGGGAGTCGAGACCAGAGCAGGGGCGCGGGGGAGACCTGGGAGGGCAGTCAGAGCACGATGAAAGCCTGAGAAGTTAGACAATTAGGCCAAGCGCATCTCCTCGCCACGAGCCCCCCAGGAGTGCAATGGCTAAAAGACAAGAGGGAGAAGCTTAGCAACCTGCAGCCGCTGCTCCTGTTACCCGCTGAACACAGAGAGTCCCAGCGCGGTTTCCAGGCTCCGCCGGGTTTCACCTGGCACCACCACCGCCCGGGGACAAGAAAAATACTTCGTGCGCGGGCGAGTGCTCTAAGCGCCCTCTTTCATGCGGAGGCGGTGCAGGAGAGGAACTCCATGAGGAGCAAAGAATTTACCCCGCCCCGCCTTAGGGGTAAAAAAGTTTAATTAGAATCTATAGTTAGGCCATTGTCTTAACCCTGTATTTTTTTTTTTTTTAAAGCAATCACATTAGTGAATGGATATTTAATAATTAAAATAATTGTTGACTCAAGGTTAAATGTTGCTAAGGGAGATACTATTTCCAGAAGGATTCTCTGCAGTACTTTTAGAAATTAGAATGAAAGAGAAGCGATAGTTATTAAATGTATAACTTGTCAACACAGCAAGGAATTGCCAAAGCTCTACTTTTTGAAAGCGTGGTGATTATGAATCGGACTGTGAACCTCAAGGTCGGCAGTTCGAAACTACCAGCTGTTCCACGGGAGAAAGATGAGACTTTATGCTCCTGTAAAGATTTGCAGCCTCGGAAACCCTGTGCAGGGTCACTATGAGTCGGAACCAACTCCACAGTACTTAATAACAATGTAACTTTTTTTGAAAGAAATTTTTGAAATTGAAAGAATGCAATAGCCCTTAAGATACAATAATAATAATATCAAATAACATTATGTGGTGTGTTTAATTATGTACCAGGACCCATGCTAAGAACTTTTTCAAGGATTATCTAATTAAAATTGTTCCACAAATGTATTGTATTGAGCCAACAATTTTGATTCTCATTTTACCTGTGCTGCAAGATAATGCACTGGAGCAAAAACTCAATTTGAACCACAGGGTCGGCGGGTCGAACTCAGCAGCCACTCTTAGAAAAGCCTATAAAAAAGTCACTATGAGTCCGAACCCACTCGACGGCACTTAACAATCTTTACAATAATTTCTAATCTTTTCAGCCATTTCAGGAAGTAGTATATGATCAAAAACCAATGATATTGAAGGAAGAAGTTCAATCTGCACTGACAGCTTTGGTAAAAACAACATTCCAGGAATTGACAGACTTATAAATTGAGATGTTTCAGCAAACAAATACAGTGCTGGAATCTCTCATTCAATCTATGCCAAGAAAATTGTAACACAGATAACTAGCCAACTGACTGGAAGAGATCTATATTTGTGCCCTTTCCAAAGAAAGATGTTCCAATAGAATGCAGAGATTCTTTAACAATATCAATGTCACAGTCAAGTTAAATTTTGCTAAAAGATAATTAAAATATGGTTATAGTAGTACATCCACAAGAACTGCCAGAAATTCAAACCAGATTCAGAAGAAGACTTGGAAAAAGGAATATCATTGCTGATGTTAGATGGATCTTGGCTGCAGACAGCAACTATCAAAAAGGTATATTCTTATGAAAAGTAATTTGACTGTGTAGATCATAATGAATTATAGATAATAGTGATAAGAATGGAAATTTCAGAACACTTAATTTTGCTCATAAGGAACCTGTGTAGACAATCAGCAGTCATTGAATATTGAACAAGTGGATATAGAGTGACTAAAAATCAGGAAAAGTATATGTCAGTGTTGTATCCTTTCACCATACTTGTTCATCTGTATCCTGAGCAAATAATCTGAGAGGCTGGACTATTTAAAGAAGAATGCAGCATGAGGAAGAACCTGTGCTATGCAGATGACACAACTTTACTGCTGAAAGTAAAGAGAATTTGAAACACTTATATGAATGAATATTAAAGACTACAACCTTCTGTATGGATTATACTTCAACATACAGAAAGAAAACAATTCTCACAAGTGTAGGCAGTAAGCAATATTATAATAAATGGAGAAAATATTGACGTGCTCAAGGATTTCATTTTACTTTGACCCACAATCAACACCCATGGAAGCAACAGTCAAGAAATAAAAAGACGTATTTGGTAAATCTGCAAAAGATCTCTTAAAAGTATTAAACATCAAAGATGTCACTTTGAGTACTAACGTGTGTGTGTGATATAAACCAAAATATTTTCAGTTGCCTCATATGCATTCAAAATCTGTACAATGACTAAGGAAAGAAGAATTGATGCGTTTCAAGTATGGTAGTGTGGCAGAGTCCTGATACGGTAGTGGATTATTAGCTGGGCTGCTAACCGCAAGGTCAGCATTTTGAATCTAACAGTTGCCTGTGGGAGAAAGATGAGGAATTCCGCTCCCGCAAATATTTACAGCCTCAGAAACCCTATTGTTGTTGTTGTGCAGTGCCATCGAGTCGATTCTGACCCATAGCGACCCTGTGTAGGGTTTTCAAGGAGCAGCTGGTGAGCTTGAACCACTGACCTTGTAGTTCAAACTACTTTGCAGTCTTATGCATTAGCCCACAGCGCCACACCAGGACTCTCAGAAACCCTGTACAGAGTCACTATGTGCTTGAACCAACTTGACATCACACAACCACCATTACCACCATTATTAGCACCACCATCAAGGAATTGTGGAAAACTAAATTAAATGTACCATGCACTACTAGACGAATGAACAAATCTGTTTTGGAAGAAATACAGCCAAAATGCTCTTTAGAAGTGAGGATGTTGAGAATTCATGTCATGTACTTTGAGCATGACATCAGGAAGGAACAGCTATTGCTGCTGTGTATATGACAGTCTTTTCCTCTGATCCTTCACTTTTCCGTATAAAATATCCTTCTCCAGGTACTAGTTCCTCCTGACAATATGTCTGAAGTATGAGAGACAAAATCTGGCCATCCTATCTCCCAAGGAGCATTCTGGCTGTACTTTTTCCAACACATATTTGATTTTTCTTTTGACCGTCCATGGCACTTTTAATATTTTCCTCCAACACCATAACTCAAATGCATCAATTCTTCTATGGTCTTCCTTATTCACTGTCCAACTTTCCTTTACATATAAGGTTATTGAAAATACCATGACTTAGGTCAGGCCTACCATGGTCCTCACACTGACATCTTTGTTCTTCAACACTTTAAAAAGGTCTTGTGCAGCAGATTTGCCTAATGTAATTCCTTGTTTGATTTCTTCACTGCTGCTTCCATGAGTGTTGATGGTTGATCTGAGCAAAATGATGTCTTTGACAACTTCAATCCTTTATTTATATGATTGTTGCTTTTTAGTCCAGTGGTGAGGATTTGTATTTTCTGTACATTGAGGTGCAACCTGTGGTCTTTGATCTTTAACAGTAAGTATTTTTGTCTTCTTCACTTTCAGCAAGCAAGGTTGTATCATCTGCATATCGCAGGTTGTTAATGAGTCTTCCTTCAACCTGATGCTACATCCTTCTTCATGTAATCCATCTTCTCGGATTATGTCCTCAGCATACAGGTTGAATTAGTACGGTGAAAGAATACAACCCTGGTGTACACCTTTACTAATTTTAAACTATTCAGTGTTCCTTTGTTCTGTTTCAAGAACTGTCTCTTGGTTTATATACATGTTCCTCATGAGCACAATTAAGTGTTTCGGAATACTCATTCTCTGCAATTTTGTTGCAAGGTTGTCATGATCCACACAATCCATAGTCTTTGTGTAGTCAGTAAAGCACAGGTAGACATTGTGCTTTCAGCCAAGATCCATCTGAGGTCAGAAATAATATCCCTGCTTCCATGTCCTTGTCAGAATCAGGAGTGAATCTCTGGCAGTTCTCTGTCAACGTATGTTTGCAATTGTTTTTTAATTAGGAAGCACCATTGGTGCCCCTTTAATTGTGGGTGCATCTTCACATGACTGTCATCTCTCTGTGAGTCTGTCTCTGTATATCTTTTACTCTTTTAGAAGAACACTGCTCAGAGCGATTAGGACTCACACTATTCCAGATTGACCTCATGTTAACTGATGTTGTTAAATTCTGTCGAGTTGGTTCCAACTCATAGCAACCCTCTGGTGGGTTTGAACCACCAATCTTGGGGTTCAACCCAACCTTGCAGTAGAGTGCATTATCCTGCAGCACCACACCAGTACTCCATGTTAAATGATAACGTCTTTAATAGTCTTATTTTCAAATAAGGTCATGTTCACAAGTACCAGGATTTAGGTTTTAAAAATATCTTGTGGGGAACACAAATCCATAACATGCATATTTTTAAAATATGGGTATGTTCATGTGTGTGTATATATATATTGTTGTTAAGTGCCATCAAGTTGGTTCCAATTCATAGTGACCCTGTCTAGGGTGTCTAATGAGTGGCTGGTGACTTGGAATTGCCAACCTTGTGTTTCAAACCAACCTTGCGGTCCAGCCCATTATCTTGCAGAGCCACACCAAGACTATATAAATATATTTATATATGTTGTTAAGTGCACCGGAATTGGTAGTGACTCATACATGGGGTTTATAAGAATTTAAATCTTTGAGGGAGCAGAAAGCCTCATCTTTCTCCCATGGAGTGGCTGGCAGATTCAAACCGTGGGCGTTGAGGTTCACAGCGCAGTATTTATCCTATGGAGCCACTGCACTCCTGGTATGGTGCTGTAGGATAAGCAGTGGACTACAATGTCAGTTTAAACGCCAAGGTTGGCAGTTCAAGTCTACCAGCAGCTCCTCCTAAACTCTATACAAGTTTGCTATGAGTCAGAACCGACTCCATAACAGTTAACAACTAAGAGAAAGGGATATAACGAAATCATGAAGTTAGGATTTGTTGTTGTTAAGTACCGTGGAG